CGGAAAAATGTTCTCCATTTCTTTTTGTTTCTGTCTCAATCCTTGAAAATTTCCTCTTTTTTTCCTGCCTCAATCCTCGTTTTGTTTGCATTCTTATTCCTCTGAATGGCCAGTATTTACTTCTTTGTTCAACCGGTATGTAATATTTCGGTATTATTGTGATTTGTGTTTGAGAGGGGGAGGGGAGCTCATTGAGAGATGTTATTATCGTATATCGAGTAACGTGTTCATCAGGCTTATAGTTGTCAGTATCGTATCGCTATTCGTAGGGACTTGTTGTTGCATATAATCAATTAAAATGGTGGATATTGTTGCTTATTTGCTAAACCACTCTCAGTCACCAACATTTGCCTGCCAGAATAATTGCGATAAAATTTATGAGATGCCATGGACAGCAGCATAAATGCACAGCCGAGCAGCAAATAGGCAACAATATCCACCATTTTAGTGGATTATATGCAACAACAAGTCCCTACGAGTAGCGATATCGCACTGACAACTGTAAGCCTGATGAAGACGTTACTCGATATACGATAATAATATCTCTCAATCAGCCCCCCTCCCCCTCTTAAATCCAAATCACAATAATACCGAAATATTGCATACCGGTTCAATCAAGAAGCAAACACTGGCCATTCAGAGGAATAAGAATACAAACAAAACGAGGATTGAGGCAGGAAAAAAAGAGGATCTTTTCAAGGATTGAGACAGAAAAAAAAAGAAATGGGGAACAGTTTTCCGGGGAACAAATTTCCTGGGGTACGATTTTCCGGAGAACGATTTCCGGGAACGATTTTCCGGGGAACATTTCTCCTAGAACCTTCCAAATCATACCGACGAGACTAGATAACGCATGAAACAATAAAGTCGTCACTTCGAGCACCGAAATGACTCTTTTTTTCCATGCGGGAAATGCAAGTGCATTCCCCGACTCTCGCTACCATCAGTTATGCACCTGGCCGCGCTGGGCTACGCCCTCTTTCCCTGACCATATTTCAAGTCAATACCACAAATTACTGTGGAGAGATCCTTTCGACCTCTCCGCTTGAGCGTCCGCGTTCGACTCGCTCGGAATCTTACTAGGGCCTTCTCCCCCTAGCCTGGATCCGTTACCCTGTCCCCAGCAATCAACCCTACGGGATCACGGGGACACCAGTCCTCTCACCTGGCTGTTGGTCCTTAGTCTACTCCGACTTAGCCTTTAGAATCGCCTAATTGGACAGCCTGTACTTCGGCCCCTTTTCCCCTAGCACAAGCTGAGCGAATTGCAAATTGACAAAACTCTAGTAACGTCCTCCATACTTCCAGGGGTCGTGGTTCCACCAAAAACCGCTGAGCCTTCAGCCTTTCATTGTGCTGTGGCTATTTCCATCTTGTCGTGGTTCTTTCAGCCGCATCTAGATGTCTCTTCCTGTCACGCTTATCATAAATTTAAGAGTGTGACTATTTATTTAAGGGGATTTTAACCCGTAATAAGAAAGTCTCGTTACAATTGATCGCTAACACCTGAAAAGTCTCGGCAAATTAAATTCCAAAATCATGCCATAAAACCAACTCGATTAAATCGCCTTACAAACGAAAAAAAATAATCTCCGGGTAATCGGATTAACTGGACTGCCAACACAATTCAAATCCCAAAATATTAGGTGTCAAAAACTCAAGAAAAAAGGCAAAACCAAATACCAACAGTTGGAAGAAATTAAAAAGTTTCCTCAACTTCGAAAAAATAACAAAACGAAAATACAATTCAAAATTTACCAAATCCGAGATAAAACGACTAGTAAAACGCGTCGACATCGAATCAAAATTCTCGAAAATTAATTCACGTAGCCCCACGTTGAGCGCCAAAGGCGACCACAATTCCGTTAATAACCGTGATTTTCTCGTTTACAGCCTAATATTGGGCGCCAAAAAGCTATGATTTATTTCGCACTTCTGCGGAAAAGGTTGTGACGGAATTTTCGAGAATTCCGCCACCTGTACACACCTTCGTCGTAGAATTAAGTAAATCCTAAGAGTGAGTAGGTAAGTGTGAACTTATTTTGATCTTTTCGGAGAGAGAGTCGCGATTTCCTTAACCCCAAAGTTAGCACCCCTACCGAAGGGCGATGCAACACCCCTTTTAGCTCCAGCTCGTAGAAACCGGTCTCCAAGAACATCAGGAAGAGCCTCGCGGGGAAAACAACGTTCGATTTCTATAAATAATCAAATTCACGTGTCGATACACATTAAAAATGAGTAAAAAGTAAAATCTCCGGTTCAAGTAATATTAAAGTTTTTGTTGTCTTTTAATTTCAGTCATCTTTCTGGTTTATTTCGGATTTTAGGGGATTGATTTTCGGTTTTATGGTTGAGGGAAAATTTACAGTAATTGTTACAGTTATTGTATGTTAATTACAGTTATTGTATTTTCCTAGTTATGTTTTTGTATTTTGAAATCTTGCGGATCCTGAGAGGGACAACGATCCACCGCGGTGCAGAGCCGATACACCGAGCTTCCCGAAATACTCACGCTCCCTGCCTAAGGCACTTCGTGGAGTCGTTGGATTCACCAGTGCAGCTGGAAGGCCATGTGGATGAACATAGCCCACTCGTCTGCATGGATCACCATGGGCTATTTAGATTTGTGTACGGTGACTCCAGGATGACTCCCGGGAGAGTGACAGCAGCGAAAAGTGCACTCACTCAGGGGTGAAGTGCATTCGCGAGGAGAAAAGGCGAACAACTGCCTTAATTCCCCCTTTCCGAACCTCCAGATAACTATCGTTCAGCCATTATGGATAAAAACCCCTTGGGTTAATTCATAAAAGATATAATTAACGGCGGAATGCCTAAAATAAGTCTAAAACCCATTTGAATCAAAATCCCCGCGTGCTCGGTTACATGAGCCCGCCCCAGCGGCAGCTAGACGGCGTGCCAGTCGCGCCACCCAGCTGAGAACCTCCGCCGGTTAGACGCAGTTTACGAGAGAGTTGGACCCGAGCAACCACTGCGATAACATCCCCGAGAATATTGACAGCGATCGAGAGAGTTGGTAGAGACCATCGCCGAGGGCCCACACGAGGAACATGGTAAGTACATTTTCATTCACCATGTGCACTCTCTCCCGAGGAGGGAAGTGCATTTATTCCCAGTGTGCCCAGTGATGACCTCCGGGAAAAGTGCACCGGCGTTCACAAGAGTGACGCCGAGATGCATTCCCAACCTCCAAAACTCCTCTGAGCGGGTGGATAAATGCACCACTGAGTGCATAAAACCCTCGTTCAGCTCTCCAGACCTCTCCCGAGTGATAAAACCCCAGTGAAACCCAAGAGATAGTGAAAATGGATAGTGAGACCCAATAAAAGGCCGCACATGGCCCATGCCCTGCCATGGCGCCATTGTGCCCTCTCCGTTCACCAGGAGGTCTTGTGAACAATTAATGCACCTTCTGAGTGCATAATTAGTTCACTAGGACCCTCGAGAACGCATGGGGAATGTCCAGTGCCAATTCTAGTGGGAAAAAGTGGATAAAACAGGCCTATAAGTATACACATGCTCCTCACGTGCCGTGGGTGACGCTGTCGTGCACATGGCGGTTTTTCCTCTTTCCAGAGCGAATTGAAGCCTCAAATGAGTGCTCTTCTAGCTCAGTAAAGTTCCCCCAAGGTTTCAATTTATTAATTTAAGATTTCTTGGAGGACGAGACCCCGAAAATCACGACATTGAAGCGCGCGAGCCCCAGGAATTTCCCTGTGATGCCACGATGCTCTTGATGCAGGACGGAATCGAATATGGGGCAAAATGGCACTCTTAAGGGACATTTGCACACTCGAGCTCCTCGTCCATTAATTGACATTTATTATTCTGAGGAGATTCGCCGAGATCATCGCATCGGAATTGATATAGCCTTCGGATCCTCCAGCACTCCAGTTTCTGGACGATGCGGAGAGATCGTTGGCCTGGACTCTTCGGACCCCCCATTCCCTTCGCGATAACCTCTCTCTCAAGGTCAATTCACGTACTCTCACTCTCGGGAATTTAATCGAATTTAATTTTGTTGAATTTAATTGAAATTAATTTATTTTATTTATGAAGAATAGAAATTCTATTGGAGTTGAAGTATTATTGAGAAATTGAATAAATCACGGAGTAAATTTAAAGTAATTTTCTCATCCCCTGTTTAATTAATTTTCTGATTCGTCCTTTTGATTTTTCTGTATCTTTTCGTAAATTCGCGACATCCTTCCTAAGACCGAGCGACCGATCCTACCCCGCTCTCCGAATACCTCCGAGCTAGTCGAGCTAATTCCGCAACCTCTCCCTTGATCTCCCCAATTATGGCTAAGTTTTCGTATGGTTCTCTTTAATACGGTTCGTTGACACCGCTGGAACAAAAGTCAGCTGGCGCCCGACAGCATTTTTCTCGTTTTCCCGTTTATTTCGTTTATTCGGTTTTCGAGGATTTTCGTGCGGGACATCGAGGAGCAGAGGCCGAAGGTGACAACACTCCGGGTGTTTTGAGTTTCGCATCGAGTTATGGATAAGTCTACGGTTTATATTTCAAGTTTGGGTTTCACGTTGGTTAGTGCCGTCACACGGTAGCGCAATTAATTTTAATAAAATATCCAAATTTAAAAATAAATAACAAATGAACTGAGTGAAATGAATAAAAGAAAATAAATGAAACCACGTCCTATTCTCGACATGTCAGGCGGTCATCTCTGCTGATAATTCTCTCTATCACTCTATCACTCTGTCAATTTACCCTACAATTGGTCTCGTATTTTTACGATTGCCTAATGTCTACTGCTATCATATCATAAAGCACACAGTTTGCGTAAAAATTCAAGGAGATTTTTTTTTTACAAATTTCTTTACAAACCGAGCTCTCTTGAAAATGTCTCCCAAAATGTATTATTTTCAAGGTCATAGCATAATTTAAGAGAACGGCAATAAATTTAGTTCTAATGCAGTTCTCTATTCGAGTCAATCACTTTATATAAAAAAAAGAGAAATACTCACGCATTATTAAATTGATCCTTCAAAGGTGACCCTTGCTGCACTGCTATAGCATAGGGCTTTCTCGAGAATTCCTCTCCCACCATAACCAAATCACAATTAGTCATCTCCAGATACCTTATATCCGTTGCATCTCCAATAAATGCAAACTCGGTTTGGGAGGAATCGTGCAACTGTCTTCGCACTCTTCGCACCGCCTCTTCTTGATTTGTCGGAAAACCCACTGCCTTCATCACCTGGAACATCTTTGTGTATTTGTCACTCACTGGATAATCCCAAACTGCGAGCTCGGCCCGTTCAGCGTTTGAGAGACTGTCGTTTAGGCTCATGGCTTTCCATATTCTGGTGAGAAAGTTTTTCATGTCATTATAGATATAAGATTATAAGATTGATTGTTGATAGATATAAGATTGATTGTTGTTGATGGGACACGAGATTTACTGAATCGGAATGCTACGTTGTTACTAATCTTTTAGATCTATCTGCACTAGATTCTTTTCAAGGATTAGTCATATCACTTTTTTCAGGTAACAGAAATATCCACTGAAAATTTTTAAATAAATAAATCATTTAATAGTACCAACTATGGGTCAAAAATGCACATCCATATTAATGAATTTTCCTGTTTCAATTTTATATTTTCTAAAAAGTTGTAACCCAGAAACCGAACTATCAAATCCGGATGTGCAGACATTTTCTAAACACATCATTTCTTCAGGTTTCATGACATGCTACGTCATCTCTAGGCAAAATTGGAGAATTTTAAAATCCAACGCATACAATGCTTCCATTCAAAAGCAAAAAACTCCTACATCAATCAAATTAAAAAAAGAACACTTGTGAAAACAAAATTTGTGCTTTGGAGGATACTCATCATCATCACCATCATCGTCATCGAATGATGACGAGTATCCTCCTTGTTAGATACACGATATAAATGGCGCATAAATTTTCCAATAACGTAATTTAGGTCTAACCTCGTTTTGCTCAGATGAATCGCGGTTTTGAGCGTAGAAGATTGGAAGATAGTTCCGATTTATTCATTTACCCTCAATTACTGCTCAGATTTGCGAGGCGTTCATTTCGGTATTCTTTCTATTTTTTTTTCAAACTTGAAGAAGAAATCAGAAACATGTTTACTTCAAATTTTTGTATTGGTACAAAAAAATACGTCCCGAATTTCTCGACAAACTTGAAATATTCTAGAAAATACCGCGAGAAAGTGAAGATTTCTCTTTCTCAGATACAGAGACGTTGGATTTAATCTCCATTTCTCTCCAGGCTTGCGGGGATGTTACAGTCCGGGTATTCTGAAATCCCTTCCAAGCCACAAGATGAATTCGAGGCAAAATTAAGACTCGATAATTAATTCCATTTTTTGCTCCGGAAAGAAACATCGCAGTTAACGCGAGTGCTAGGGGCACCCATGAGACGAAAAGAAATTTTGTATTTGAAAGATCGTCTTGGTCTCGAAATAGTAATTTCGAGACAAAAAAAACTTTTCTGACGAATATGATTGTAGCCCTCGCCTTCGGCTCATGCTGCAAACTTCATATTCGCCAGGAAATTTTTTTCGGCCGTATGACGAACAATATTTTTTGTCATGACGGCCGTAGGCAGAGATAAGCGGAGCGTCTGTGAAACGCTGCCTTACGGCCGGAATGACAAAAAACATTTTATTCACGGAATTCTATCGCATCGTCTTGGTTCCGACAAACATGGTAATATTCCATCTCGTCCTATCTCTAAGAGGATGTTTCTAATTTCGGTCTTAACTTCTTCTTGTTGTTGAGTGAATAAAAATGAAAGCGATACTGATAAATCGGGGCAAAATAAGACCGAGATGGGGAACATCATCTCGGAATTGTGGTGAAATAAGATGATACGTTAGCGCGAAACCGCGACAATGTTGAAAAATTTCTATGATTGATGCGATAGGGACGATCTCTTGAATGCGAAATATCTTTTGGTCTAATCAAATTAAATGCGATATCTTTCGGTGAAACTATGCATCTGAACATTATAGTTAGGCTGTCCATACGTTGTCGCCATGTCTAGAAACTCGCCCAGTTGTGTTTGAGGAAAAGAGGCCAACGTACCGGTGTTCCAACTGGGCGATTCTAGAGCACTATCGACTTAGACTAGGGACCAACGGCTAGGTGAGAGAACTAGCGCCCCCTCGATTACCGTCGAGCTGATTGGTGGTGGTGGGGTAACGGATGACACACGGCCACCGGGATGTTCAGACTAGGGGGAGAAGACTCTAGGAAATTTCGAGAGAGTCAGTGACAGACGCTGGAGTCGAGCGGATGAATTTTCCGGTTACTCGATACAGTCGTGAGTGGCATTAATCTGTAATGGTTTATGGGGAGACGTTGTCTGGTCTAGATGTAACACAGTGAGAGAGAGGGACGCATTAGCATCCCATAAAGAGAATGACTGAATTCCTTTGGGTTACGGGAAATACCCTTATTTCACGTTCCCAGGAAACCATATCCTAGGACGAAAGGAGTGTTGTTGGCGTCGATCCGTGGACCGGGAGTTTGACCAACTCCGGGAGGCCCGATGATAGTACTTTTACCGAGCATTGAGGATGAATTGGGGTGAGCACAGGTGTGTGAGAAAGTCTCCGGATGCCTGTGTCGCACGTGCCTCTCAATGTTCGGTGCCCTGATGGGTCAGAAGGATCCGCTGGTAATCGTCGACTTCTCCAGAGTTGAACCAATCTAGAGAGAGAGAACACGTCAGAGGAGTGGAAGCATCCTTGGTGAAGGAAACATGGAAAAACATCTCCTGAAAGATACGCTTTCTCGTAATCTCTCGGCTGAAAAGACGAAGATCGATTGAGTGAATTACTCCTAGTATGGTGGACCTAGCTCACTCTACCGTTTCACGCTGATGCTGGCTCGGCATTGCTCGCCCCGCCATAAGAAATCCTCGGAGTAGACAAGTTTGCCTCCGAGGCCGGTTTTCCGTTGGACTTTCCGTAAGTCCAGCTGGCGCCCAATATATTTGAGCGATAGAGAAGACTCCAAAGTAGTTTGGGATCTCTCCTGGTGAAGCACCAGGAAATAGTACATTACATGCCCGAGCCTTGGAAAACAGATCACCGTTCCCCACGTGCAAGATTGTCTTCCGAGCTGAATGCGAGGATGGCAAGCACGGGGGGGAGGGTGATATGTTTTCCATGGCGAGGTGTGTATATTAATGTTCGTATCGAGGGACCTGAAAAACGCCAATTTCGTGGCGCGCAGCGCCACGAAAATGGGGCTTGTCAGGTCCCGTGACACGAAAAATTCCTCACAAGTGCGACGTGTTGTGTGTGTTTGAATCTCAGGTGCCTGTGTATCCCGATCTGTGCTGGTCAATGCCTGACCTTACTTTAAGATGTAGCAAGAAGCTACATCGAGACTTCAAAGTGGCTCCGAAATACTGATAGAAAATGGAAATTTTTTTCAACTGTCCGATTGGTTGAAAAAAATCGGGTAATAATTGTAACGGTCCCGAAGATAGAAACTGCAAATTCCATGATATCTCCACATTTGATCACCTATAGAAACTTTTTATGAAGTTTTTAGATGGAAGTTTGTGTGTGAGTGTTTATGTGAATGAAAATTTACCCAACGATTTTTCTGGAACGAAGAATGCATTGCAATTTTTCTCAGAGCTGATTGGATTCTGACCAACTCTATGTGAACGGTTTTTTATATTTTCCACTAAAAATAGCCATAAAAAGTCGAAAAATGACTTATTTCATACATGTTAATGCTAATAATTTTTCTCCGATATTGTGAAGAAGAACAATAATTATCAAAGATAGTTAATGATTTTATCAAACAGCTGAGTTCACAACACTGAGAAACTCCCTGATGAATTAAATTGAATACTTAATAGATATGAGATTTGGTTGGTAATTTGTCACAATAAACTGAAAAATCGCATTCTTCGAAAAAATTCCAACTAAAACTCTAAATACTCCCGGAAAATACCCACAACTCCAACTCAAGAGCCCCTGATGACTCGTATCGCTACAGCGAATAAGTTAGATTGCGTGTTGTGACGTTGCCTGGTATTTCTAAAATATCCGACAACGTGAAGGTTTGCATGTAATTAAAATATAGGTAAGAATATGAGTGACTTATGACGTTAAATTGAAAATATAAATTTAATAGAGTCAGTGGTGCTATGAAATACCAAAAATAATATAATACAATTTCCCAAAAACAATCTAAGCCTATATTCGCGTATACTAGGTCCGGAGGAATCATTCAAAAGAAAGAAAATCATAGGAAATACTTTCCTGAAAACGCTCTGCTTCCTTTCGCACGTGTACAAGGACAAAGTAGCCAAGTCAAATCAAGAACGAATACACGGGCCAACGACCGTGTACTTGTAATTGATTTGACTTGACTACTTCATTTTTTGGACGAGGGTATTGTTCGCTAAAGAGAAAGAGATTATTGAGTAATGGAGATGTGTATACAGGGTGTCCCATAGCATGTGACCAAAGTAAATTGCAAATAACTTGGATACAGTCGCCCGGTGGCTTGGCGCAGTGGGTAAGTTCGTTGCCTCACATACGAAAGGTTCCGAATTCAAATCCCGGCCGGGTAGAATGGTGCGATCTAACCATGTAAAGTCTTGATCATCATCGCAGTATACCCTAACCGGGTCGAAGCGATGTAAAATAACGATAAAAAAAAACTTGGATACAATCAAATGTGAATAATTGTTCTTTTTTTATTGTACAAGGAACATTCGGCAAATTACAATACAATTCGTTCCAATTGTCCGCCATCACTTGTACTACAAAACTCTATCCTGCGTTCGAAACTGATATAGATGCGCTATATTATATTTTTATCAATAGCTCGGATAGCATGCCTAATTGCGTCTTGCAACTCTCCCACTGTCGTCGGATGGTTCTCATAGTACTTGTGCTTGAGAAAACTCCACAGGCAAAAATCACAGGGATTTAAGTCCGGACTGTGAGGCGGCCATTCCATGCTCCCATGGGCATACTTAGGGTAACCTAAGTCTAACACACGACTGCCGTAAACGGAAAAAACTATTTTAAATACTCCAGCAGTCCTGTGTGGGGTGGCATCATCTTGCATGAAGCAGAAATTCTTGACTAACTGATTTTTTCGTGCCCAAGAAAAGAAGTTCTTCTTCAAGAACTCACAGTAAATATCAGCACTGATTGTCGGACTCTCAATAAATTCAAGGAAAATACCTTTTATTGTAATTGCCGCCCATGCAGTGACTTTTTTCGGGGGTGAGGACTTGATTTCAATAACGTGAGGTGACTCAGTCCTCCAAAAGCGAAAATTTTGTTTATT